TAGGGGAGAGAAGGATGAGTGAGAGATGTAGGGGAGAGAAGGATGAGTGAGAGATGTAGGGGAAGGGAAGAGAAGGATGAGTGAGAGATGTAGGGGAAGGAGAGAGAGATGTGGGAAGTTGTAACAGAAAAGCCTCTAAAAATCTCTACTATCTGCCCATCTCTCTATCTATCCACTACTTTACTCCTAACATACTAGATAGCGTACATCTCGCCCGCCAGATGTCGCCACGTGCCTACCTGTATGACAGCGTTGAAGAAGCATGTGTTGCCTAGGTTACACAGTCCCTTCACCTTAGACAGACTCTGACTCGGACGGCTCTTCCCTTTCCCCGCCGCAGAAGCAGCATCCGCGGCAATCTCCGTCGTTGCCGTGGCCGCCGCCGGCTTGTTGTGGGTCGTTGCCATGGCGACGTCGTTCTCGCGACCTCCGGGCCTGTCTGGAAGACGACGACAAACAATGGAACGCCTGTTACAGGGAGTGGCCCTATAGGTCACGAGAGATCACAGAACGAGGTCAAGGATGGTTTGTGCCGATGGCGGCATGATGGTAGAAGTAGAAGACTTCCCAGCGTTGCTAGGATGCAAACTCCGGAAGACTGCCAGACGCAAAGTGAAAAAGACGCGGGACAAAAAATAACGAAATAAACGTTCACGTTCGCGTACCTCCACCAGGAGGCGCCTCGGTCTTGCCGACGCCGGCGCGCTTGCGCACAAACTCGATGCATTCGAGCAGCTTTCGGCTGCTAGATGGCGCCACCTCTGTGTCGCAGTCGTAGCACCAGACGGCCCAGGCGGTCGTGTGGATCACCAGCGAGTGAGAGACCGAGTGCGGAGTGTTGTAATGCTCCAGCGCGTGCTGCCCCCTGCTGGTGCGGCCGCAACCCTGAGAACAAGTGAGCGTCTCGCTACATTTGCGACATCGAGACAGTGGAGACTATAATATATCCCCCTGCTTTATCGCAATCTCTCTCCCCTTTCTTTCTCCTATCCCTCTTCCATGTCTCTCTCCCTCTTCCTCCCTTCGTCTCTCTCATTCTTTCCCTCTCTCTCTCTCTCTCTCTCTCTCTCTCGCCCCCTCTCTCTCTCTCGTCCTCTCCCTCTCTCTCTCTATTTCGCCCCCCCCTTCTCTCTCTCGCCCTCTCTCACTCTCTGTCTCTCCCTCTCTCTCTCTATTTCGCCCCCCCCTTCTCTCTCTCGCCCTCTCTCTCGCGTCATCTTCCGCTCTCTCCATTCTCTCCTTTCGCTCCCCCCACCACCCCCTCCTCTTCCTGTACATACCTCTGTCGCAAGGTATTAGCCAGGAATGAGTATTGTAGGAGCGTAGAAAAAATATTGGAATGCAATTTTTGCGTCTCAGCCAAGACCGTCGTAGGTTTTACGGGGGGGGGGGCAGGGAGTCTGAGAGGAGGTCCTCCCCCTCTTACTGGGGGTTAGGGGGGGGGAGAATTTTAAAATTTGGTAAATGTTAATTTTTTTTTGGCCGTGCAGTTTCAAAACTGACCGTGCAAATCACGGCTGCACGGCTCGCTGGCTAATACGTTGCTCCCCACCCCCTCCCTCTCCCTCTGCATACCTCCTGTCGCACACTGACCTGGTTTCCACACTGCAGACACAGCCACACTGTGGTCGTCGCCGCGCCGTCCTCGTCCGCCTCCAGGTGGAGCTCCTCGCCTCCGCTTCCGCCACCAGGTGTCGCCGCGTTGCACGTCTGACATGCTCCGATCGCACGCCGGATGTTTTTGCGTATCGCCGCGAGGTTAACGGCCTTCGGAATATGCGGGCACACCGGGCCTGATCGCAGAACACGTGTTGTTAACGATCGTTAATATTATTATTATTATTATTAATATTACTATCATCATCATTATTAAGTTATTATTATTATTGTTATTATTAATATTATCATTACTGTTTTTATTATTATTATCATTATCATCATCATCATCCTCATCATCATCATCATCATTGTCGTCATCATCATCATCATCATCACCACTGTCGTCATCATCATCATGACTATTATTATTATTAATATTATCATTATCAACATCATTATTATATTATTATTATACCTTATATCTTATTTATTGTAAATAATTATCTCTTAACATTTTGATTACAGATGCATTCCTGCGCACATTTTCATGACAAACCACCGTAAAAAGACTTGTAAGTAAATAACTCACTACACTATAAGTGAACGTTAGCTTTGAAAATAAAACTGTAAAAATATGTATCAAGCCTATATATTCCCTCAACGAAAAAACAACACGAAAAAACAACTCGAAAAACGCGTTTCGCCGCGGTTCTGGATCATGGCGGCGAGAGTCGACGCAAGCCTCGTATAACCAGCACAGCTATAGATATCATGTGTTATATGATATCTATGAGCACATGCAGCCTTCATGACCGTCAGCGCTTGGCAACACTGCATGGCAACAAGAGATGCGTCCCAACATCGCCACAGTGCGGCGAAAGTAAAACGCTGTTTGAAACATTCGACCCGACACTTTCACGTTGTACTTTGTAGTCTAAAAGCTTTGAATGAACGTATTCCTGAGCAATTTTTCGGTACCTATCAGTATCACACACATATCTATATCAGGAGTAGATAATAGGGAATCCCCCTATAACAGGGAATTCCCTATTATCTACTCCTGATCTATATATATGCAAGTACAAACGTGCAATGTTATTGTTAAAATAATTCATTTTTGCCTGATTTTATGTTTGCCGCCTGAAACTTCAAGGCAAAACTTTAAGTTATCATCATTACACTATGTAAATTCAATAACAAAGTCTGCCTGCAGCTAGGGCAGCAGCAGGGCTAAGCTTATATCCCTACTAGAGTCACAACTCACCCACTAGCACAAATAAATATGGACTCAATACAGACAATTATTCAGTAAACGATAAAAAAAAAATTCCAAAAAACTCGAAATCCGGCTCTCGGTCGCAACCGCACGCGGCGCCCCCTAGAACTCACCGGCTTGGTGCCTCAAGGTGGCAGCACTGTCCGAGGAGTCGGAGGGGCAGGCGTCGCTGTACTTTGACTTCTTTAATTTTCGCTTGTTTCGAGGCATGAGGGCGCTGAGGGCGGGGCGCAGTTCCAGCCCACTATCCAGCACACGCATCGGTGCGGCTATGACATCACCGCAACGCGCGCCTGTAACCACGCCAACGATTCAGACGACGGATTCCGACTGGTGCTTTTCAAAACAAGTCGAAATTATGCGAGAGGACTAGAGCTCGTGATTGCAACGAATGTAGGATCGTAATAATGTGTTTTATAATCGAAATTTCAATCTCTCTTTCCCCAGGCACATGAACCCATGGCATTTCCCAGTTTCCTGATGCGCTAGCTAACCACCATTCTTTTAATTTCAACTCCTTTTTACAACAAAGCTATTTCTGTAAGACTTTCTGTACGAATTTACGCTCATCTCAAAAATGTTCATGGCAGCTGAAAAATCTGCGGAAAAATTCTTGTGTGTGTGTGTGTGTGTGTGTGTGTGTGTGTGAGTGTGCGCGCATTTATTATATATATAAATAAATGAATAGATAATATATAATGGTTGGGCTACACTCGTGCTGATGACAACCATTGAGCCATTGACACAACCAATATACAAGCAGGGGTAGAAATTAACTTTTGAACAAGGGAGTCCAAGGGAGTCCATCCCTACCCTCAAAAAGAAGGAGTCCGCAGCAAAATGAGGGAGTCCGCAGTCTGAGGTTCAAAATTAAAGATATTAACAATAACGCATGCGCTTATTTTTAAGATTCATGCAGTTCTGCCAACTTTCTTTGGACATTAGCTGAACAAATACAGTAATTCCGCGAAGCCGTGCTCCGGAACGAACTAGTTAGTATGGCTGAGAGGGTCTATGTCCCCAAGGGTACTGCTGGAACGTACCCTGGTACTATCTAATATGCCGGACCGTACCTCGCCTACTCCACTAATGAGTCTAGGAAGTCGCCTACTGCTACTCCCTAACCCTAACCATATCAGATAGTTACCAGGGTACGTTCCGGCAGTACCCTGGGGGACATAGACCCTATGAGCGTTAGTATGGCAGAATTTTCAGGGAGTCACACGGACTCCTGCATAATTATGTCAAATCAGGGAGTCCAACATTAAATCAGGGAGTATTTGACACCGGACTCCCGTTAATTTCGCACCCTGTACAAGTAACAGTAAATTACGTGTGAGTCACGTGTGACTGCGTCAGTGCGCGTCATGCGCACCATTCTAAGGCCAAAACAAAATATAGGTGTGGTTACCGTTTCCCGACCGACCCTATTTATTCCCAGCGACCCTAAACATTTTATTGTCAATTTTCTTTAAAATTAAAAAAAAAAATATTAAAAAAACATGAATTGGACAGTTCCTGCTTCAAAAGGCACATCCTTCTGACATGGTTCGTAAATAAAATGTTTCAATAAAATAAAATGTTTTCCCTACCTACCTACCCAATTTTTTTTCGGCATGAAACGATAACCACACCTATATTTTGTTTCGGACTAACCCAGTCAATGGAGCTTAACGTTAATGATTACCGCTCCTGATCGTAACAGCCGCTAGAGGGCCTACTCACCAGAGCGTTAACCCCTTACTATATGAAAGTGGCTGGCTGCTGACTGAGCCAGACCGGCCAATGAGTGAGCAGGTCGCAGCGACTGTGATTAGGTCGTCCAATCAGCGAGCAGGCTTTTGCCCGACGTCATTTCTCAAGTTATTCAAGTTGAATTTATAACTGCAATTAGTGCACGCTTCTGCCAAAGCCATTAACTAGATTGTTTCCATTCATCAGGTATTCGCCTGGGGCGAAGTTTTGCCGTATTTACTTCTGTACGCTCGATTGCTCGCCGCTAATCAGATTCCCCGCCAGAAGTCAAACACCGATCGATAACGAGGCTCGCGAACCGCTGGCGCGGCGGAATAACTTTCCCACGGACGTAGATGGAGGGTCACGTGATGTGGCTGCACTTGTGTTAGGATCAGGGTTAGGGTCAGAGTTAGGGCAGAGGTTAGGGTTAGGGTTAGTGCTGCCACGTAGCGTCACCCTCCATCTACGCCCGGGGGAAAGTGACACCCCTGGCGCGGCGCTCGCTTACAGGCGTTAGTGGATTAGTGTAGCCGTGCGGAACATAACGACTGTATTATACAGGTTAGATAGAGCTATGAAAGGTTTAGCCGGAACAGGAAACGAGACTTGGGGTCTTTCGTACGATTGATAATTCGGTCTGGAGGATTCTTGGGGCCCCCATACACTGTCACTGATACAGTTGCAATACATTATTATATGTCATTAATTTAGAAGCAACTAAGCGCAAAGTCACGCATGCCATCACATAATTTCTCAACCCTATGATAAGGCCAACTAATACTAGATGCCAAGCTGGATCGACGGAGAGGCAATACTTACGTTTGAGAAACGAGATATTACGTTATTGAAGTACAGTCGTTGTACAATGTCCGCAACCAGAGTTCAGGTCGATGCACCATGCACCAAGCAGCGCCATCTATCGTCCGAAATCGTACTTTTTCTTATTGCATATTATGGTAATTATCTGGCAGAAATCATCGACGTTCTCTTCTCATAAGCAGTTCTTTCTTCTTTGGACTCAAGACTGTACTGGTGCCAAAATTGTATTTAATTGCACAATTAATTAATTAACAATAATATAATAACAACAGTATATAAGAACAGTATACTAAGATATAAAGCACACCGGGTCTAACCCCAAAATTTTCAAAGCAGGTGCCACTGGACAGCACACAATTATTTTGCTCACGTAATCATGTGCCCATGCTCATGTAATCTACCTAATCAAATTTTATCTAAAAGATTAACTTTCGCTGCAGCATCCCGCCACAATTCTCCACCCATGCAAAAGTACATGGAATAGAGCGCGCGTCGCTGGCTGCTTCTGCTAGCCAAGAGAAGTTTCTTCGGACGATCGTACACTCTTAAAATGGGGAGGGGTATTTGCCGCGAGAGATGATCATAGTAAAACCTGACTTAAATTGATGCTAATAAGTCCGATTCGATTTAGAGATCCCATTAAATTATTTAATCATCTGACGTAAAACTAATACTTTATTTTATTATTTTAACTACTCAACACTATTGCTTTTATCAGATTTTTTCTCCATGAAAAAAAACTGTTGTCAGTACATGTATTTGTATCTGAATTCATGCAATAAAGATTTTTTTTTTTTTTTTAAAAACTGGTTGCAGCCTACGGTCAACTTCTCCCATACTAATTTTGCATGTAGCGCTCGCGTCGCTGGTTCCCGTTGCGAGCCAAGATAAGTATCTTCGGCCGACCTTGTAGCGAGCAGTGGTCTAGAATTACTAGTCTAAAGAAAAATAAAGCAAAACAAAAACGCGATTTTACGCACAAGTCAACTGTTCTTTATTTCACAACCGAATTTTGGGACGACTTGCAACAATTATCAAAAAAAAGGTTTATTAAATATTTTAATTTCCACCCCCGTATGCGGACGATTAAAAAGCGGATCCTAACACAATTAAATAAATTAACGATGAACGGCCTTAACGATGTAAATCACGAACCTTTGATCTAATCACAACCCTCTCACTCCCCACCACGCATCCTCAATCCACCCACCATACACCGCTCGTTAACCACTCGTTAACCACTAATTACGCTTCACTCTAAACGATGGTTATTTAATTAATAAAAAATCAATTCCTTTAAATACGATCGTCGATCACGCGGTTAATTATGTCGTTCTAGTAAAAGACGCGCGTCGTCGCTGCCGGTGGCGCCACCACCCGTGTGTGCCAGCAGATGGCGCTCAATCACTCGTCATTGTCGTTCCACTCGCTGTCGTCACATTGGGATCAGCAAGTGGCGTTCACTTGTCGTTGCCGTCGTCGTACTTGCACAAGCGTTCACTTGTCGGCGTCGCCGTCGTCGTCCCACTCGCTGTCGTCGTACTCGCTCCAGCGCGCGGGCGTTCACTTGTCGACGTTGTCGTCGTCGCCGTCATCGTCGTATTCGCACAAGCGTTCACTTGTCGTCGTCGCCGTCGTCGTCCCACTCGCTGTCGTCGTACTCGCTCCAGCGCGCGGGCGTTCACTTGTCGACGTTGTCGTCGTCGCCGTNGTCGCCGTCGTCGTCGTATTCGCACAAGCGTTCACCATGACGGCGACGACGACAACGTCGTATTCGCACAAGCGTTCACTTGTCGACGTTGTCGTCGTCGCCGTCATCGTCGTATTCGCACAAGCGTTCACTTGTCGTCGTCGCCGTCGTCGTCGTATTCGCACAAGCGTTCACTTGTCGTCGTCGCCGTCGTCGTCCCACTCGCTGTCGTCGTACTCGCTCTCGCTCTCGCTGGAGTCGGAATACTCCACAGCGATTCGGCGAGCAAGGATCGACGCTACATCTCCGAACCCTCCCAGATTCTTCTCAGCCTCCTTCGCTCTCTTATCCTCCGTCTTCTTCAGATGAATGCCTA